AATACTGAGTCTCTATTTTTGAAAAAGTTTATTCTAAAATAAATTACACTGAATATATCTTCGTCTGTGTATAAGACATCTGTTGGTTTCTTACGCGAAAATAAAAATAGTCGCAGAATTTGTAATTTACAAAGCTTTTTTTTTTCTCTGTGGTCATTTTTGTTTCATTTTTCATATCTTGTTTTCAATTCGGAGAAAAAATGATTTTCCTTATCAACCTATTTTAATCTGGTAAATCAAGTGAGACCGGGTAAAAAAACTACTTATCATTTTAAGTACTTAAAGCATAACAAAAAACAGATATATCAGATGATATCTTAGGCTATTTTATTTAGTAAATATATTGCTTTATTTTCATTACAGAAAATATGTGAGCTTCATTTTCTGACTTAATGCACATTCTTGTCTACAGAAGGAAAAAATTGAAATCGAAAATTTATAAACAAAAGAATTCGACTTATCATTGACTCATGCGACGTATATGAATTTGTACTTCTAAAACTAAAGCAATCTAGTTTTTCAAGGTAAGCATATATTAAAAATATCAACTATTCATAAAAGTTGGCGTCATTCGCCAGTTAAGGTCAGGATTATTTTACGATTTTATAAGACGACTACCCTGATTGAAATATGATCGAGGATGGGAGCAATAAATAGGAAATTTTGTCATGTTGAAATGTTTTTGTTCAAGTTCTGCTTTAAAAAAAAAAGCAGTTTCTAGCAAAAGAATTTGATTTGGAATCATACAAAATAAAAATACGAAAAATATACCCACTGTTTAGATATTCAGTTCCGAAAGAAATTAATTTTATAAATAAATACGAATGGGATTTGCTGATTTATTCAAAATCTAAGGCACTATATATATATATATATATATATATATATATATATATATATATATATATATATATATATATATATATATATATATATATATATATTCAGAATATCAAATGTAAGCTATCACGAGGGTCTCTCAAAAAGTTCTAAGCCTCAACCAAGAGTTGAAGAAAAAACAGTTTTGACATCAATGCATTTGATCCAACGATGCTTCAGCATTGCAATCCCATCACGGAAGAAGGTTGTTCTCCAAAATCTCTCCCACAGCCCATACGACCTCATCATTGTTTCCAAAATGCCGACTACGTAGGTTGAGTTTAGGAAACAGGAAGTCAGATAGAGTTATGTCTGCTGGTAATGTAGCCATAGGTAGCTGCTTCAGCTACTGCAACCTGAGCAGTGTGAATGGGCGCGTTATCCTTGAGTACATCTGCCCTCAGCTTCTCTCTGCGTTTCGATTTGATTGCTTCCTTCCGTTGTCTTAATTCTGATGCATAGTATTGCCCATTAATAGTTTTTTCCCCTTTTCCAGGCAATCATGATTACAATTTCAGAAAAAAACAGAAGCCATCGCCTTGCGAACAGACGCTACAAGCTTGACCTTCTTCGGGGTGAAGAATCAGAGTATTTCCACTGTTTGCTGTGAATCTTTGAACCCAGGCTTTGTCTTGAGTTACTAAATTACTGGAAATTCTCAGGATCAGCCTGGAAGCGAGTCACTAGTGTCCTGGAGATCTAAAAGCTTTTTCAGCTCTAGTGTCAGCATTCTTATGACCCATCTTGCAGACAGCTTCCACATCCCCAAGTTCTCAGCTAAAACAGTATGAACCGAATCAAAACTAATGCCTATAGACTTAGCTGACTGATGGACAGTAAGACGTCTGTCATCCAAAACCATACAGTAAATGGCATCAACTTGTTCATCAGTCGCTGAGGTTTTTGGATGACCTAAGAGCCATCTTCTGTGCTGTCCCTGCCCGCTTGAATTCTGCAGTTGCATAGGAAATGGAGTCATCAGCAAATGCCTGTACCACATCCTCATGGATTTCCTTGGGTGTCATACTTTTCTTTTGCAGATACTTTATGATTTCTCAGATATCTGTTTTATCCATTTTTAGATTTGTTGCAAATCTTTCACCTTTGTATGCACAGAAATTAAGATAGAAATCTGAATTAGTTTTTCTACTTTTATAAGATATAGTGTGTTGCTACAATAAGAATGTTCAGTTATGGCTCTTCGTTCTGGGCGAGGCTTAGAACTCTTTGAACGACCATCGTTATAGTGATGTTGTAATATTTAGACGAGTAGATTATTTGCTTGCTTAAATAGTTGCCTATTGGCTATCAGCGAAAATGAAACGATGAATAAGAATATTGACTTTCAAAGCCTCTACTGAGGTCCACTCCACTTGAAAGACTGATGCAGCACAATCTTCTTACTCCTATTTCTCCCATTAGATTTCATGCAAGTCTAAATGGAAGTTTGGATATGCTGTTAATATAATGGTTATCGGCTCGGAATGTGGAATCGGCGAAACGAGTTCAAATTCCGGTTGAATTAGTTCCGTTCACTTCTGCAATAAGATTCTGAGGTATGAAGGCATGAATCCGTCTCTCCACCTTCCAACCCCAGCTACAGGTTAAATAATAGAGTATTGGGTAGCGGTCAGTCTTGGAGAAGGATTACTCTGAAGTCAAAACCGTGAAGAAGGCAACAAAAAATGACCTCCCTATCTTTCCCAAAATGTCATGGCAATTCCCAGATCAATTCCCTGTATCATGGCTACATTTTTGTTTCTTTGGTGACCAGACAAAATATGTTACAGCTTGACTGGGAAGTGTTGTAGTCAGAGGATACTGGAGCATGGGATGACTATTTATTCCAATCTTTAAAGAATTATCTTCATAAGAATTATTTCCCTGGAAGACTGAAAAAGATATTAAGAACAGTTCTTTGCTTACAACGATAAAAATTTCGAGAGAGAAGGATTTATGAAGCTGTTTGGAAATATATTGTTAAATGAAAATGTAAAAAATAAGAACCTACTTTCTATTGATGGAATGTGAAAAGTATCCAACATTTCAATATATACCTAAGCATTGATTATTGAGGTAATGATTATAATCCACTCTGATTCTTAGCTGAGATGATGAGTGGGTAACATTATTTCCTTTTTTCATGTTTTATGACATACTAGCTATCGCTTCGCAAACAAAAATTTTAAATGAACATTTCATTCATAAATTGACTTGTTATAGCTAAGGAAAAGTTTACAAAGATGCCAACTTGTTGAAGGTCAAGTAAAATGCAAATTTCAAACGCTTTTCTGCACTATATAAGACGATATTCCTAAACAGAACTATTTTTGATATGAAAATCAAAACAATCCTCGAATAAAAGAACAGTAATGAAGGACACTTAATTAATGAAATGAACTTTTTTTTAAATCAATATTCAAATTAGTTAAACCTGAAGAGTGATAGTGACTAGAAGAAGATAATATATAATACAGATATTAAGCTTTTTTAGGGGTTGAGTAAATACAAATTACTTTAAAGTCAGTATGTAAATTACTCTGTCTCGAGTGGCTTGCAACACGTTATCATCTCTCAGTTGCGTCTCTGTCTTCGGGCAGAGAGCACTGAGGGGCGACACAGTGAAAAGACAGAGTTGCAACTAAGGAAAATTATACCGAGAGGTGCCGGTCCTGAGGAACAGCTGCCCGAGGCCGTGCCCTCTCATTGCACTAGGATCGGTGCTCGCACCGAGGCCAGCGCAACCGACGCTTACGGGGGTCGCAGGGGGTCCGGGCATTTTTTGTTCGACCTTGTGTTACAACGCGACTTCGTAAAGGTCGAGTAAGTACCAACTTATTATAATGTAGACCTGGGGCTTTTTAATCTCTGAATTCATGGGAGAATTGAGCTCCAATTTCGCATTTATTACTATAGACTCCATAATATAGGTTTTACTTAATTAGCTATTATATTTCTCTAACTCTTCAAATGCTGAATGTAAAACTAATTCTATTTTCCCATCTTTACGCTAAATTAATTTTATCTTATAAATTGTCCCCTGTTCTGTCACCCATGAAATAAAAATAATTGTTTGTACGGAAAATTATGATCTACGCACATCAAATTGTCTTTAAATGAAGTGGCAGCAGACGAATTATGGTCGAACTTTTAAAAGGTAAGCTTAAACATTCATTCAATACTTAAATGCAGCGATCAATTTTGAGTTATTCTGTAGTTTATTGATGCCTATCGCATCTACTCCTCCCTAGCTATTGTGATGCTGGTCAAACAAATATCTTCCACTTTAAAATTTTAAGCTAGCTGCAGTTTAGATACAAATGGAAAATAAGAGTTACTCCACTTGAACTATGAAAGCACCGATAATGGCTAGTATAATATATTAATATATAATTTTAACCTCGCATATTCTGACAACCCTGTATCTGAGCTCGACGAAAATCGTTCCCAGCGCCTAACTTTTGAATGACCTATGAATCATTGAAATCGGACCAGTGGGAACGAAGGAGTTGCTTGGATACACACACGCACAAACACACACACATACACTGTACTTTATATATAAGATTTGTGATTTGTTTATTTGCTGCAAAGTAAATCAAACAACTTAGCAAACCTCCACTACATGTGGTAATTCCATAAGGTTTGATACGTGCTGTATGACTTTAATACCGAATTTCTTCTTCTTCATAAAGTTTTCTATCAGAGGCGAAGACTTTTTGGCTATCACTGTTTTTGGCCTTGAAGAGCAATTAATGTCTGCAGCAAAATAAGTACATGTAAAAGAGATAAGCTGAAGAAAATAATTTAACGCATAAATAATGTTATTGTAAACAGTAATAGAGGCTAGAAGTGAAAAAATTACTTTGTCTGCAAATAGTTATTTTTGAGGAAGTTTCTTATTCAGATGGTGTAATGCTGACCAATGTAAATGCAAAACGTTAATTGCTTTGTCAAGGCGTGCTTCGGATTGGCAAGGGTCAAGCATCGATTGCGTCCAGAGGGAATTTGAGGCAAACAAGCGATAATTGATTCCCCGGCAAGACTGAAACGCGCTGTTAATTTTTTTTTTTTCTTAGATTGATGGTTAAAAAATATATGTTAGCTTTGTTTTTCTCGAGCTGTTTTCTCTAATACACTATCATTCCCTCTCCTTTTCTCTCTCTTCCTTTTTTTTCTTTTTATTCTCATTGCATCTTATTTTCTATTTTCTTTGTGAATATTGTTTCTTTCTCCTCTGCTCTATTGTTCGTAATTTATCCATTTTTTCTTTGCTTAAAATTTTTTTCCTTTTTCTTTCCTTGCCTCTCCATCGTCTCTTTCTTTGTTTTCTCTTTCTACTTTTATGCATTCATCTAATTTATTTTTCATGCATTGCCCCCTCTCTTTCTCTCTCTCTCTATCTCTCTCCTTTTCTTTCCCATCACTTCTATCGCCATTTCAGTTTCAGAGAGCTTCCCAATAAATTAAAGATCTATGTTCGTGCATAAGAATCGACAGATACTCCAAGACGACGCTGTTGTCAAGGTTTCGAAGTTTTATTCTACTACTTAAATCATTTACAATTGGTGCTAAGCTAGGATCCAATTTCTTCATGCCCCCCTCTCTCTCTCTCTCTCTCTCTCTCTCTCTCTCTCTCTCTCTCTGCGGTATATCTTTGTTTTCCCTTTTTCATCGAATCCCAAATAAAATATCAGCGCTAGTTAAACTATCCTTAAATTACTTTAAATGGAGTTAATTAATTATAATAACTAATTACATTATCTAGAGTCCTAATTAATTACTCTTTTCTTTTAAAATATTTATTCTCTCGAGAAGATGCAACACTAGCGTATTTATTAAAACCTGGATAAAAATTGGGTGATTAATATCATTAACTACTCATGTTGCTTATCAGCTACTTTATCCAGAATGTATTTATTCTTGCACTCTCTAATTAAACCAAACAATTTAAAAATCCAAAACCTAATTACGGATTATTTATATCTGCAATCACGAAAGTCTATTGGATCGCCTTTCTTAAACATGGTATTCGGACTTTTAAATTTGCTTGACTTCCACTTCTCTCCAATTCAGATGGAATCGGGTGCTGCGTCTAATATAATACCATTTACCACAAGGGATGATAAAATGGAAATGTTTGTACATTTATCTATAATAAAAATGATTTTAATAATTTCTATCCGAGCGACTACTCCCAAAAGTGGCGGATCATAAGAAGCTAATGCAGTCCATTCAACTAATCTTCCGGACCGTCAAGAGTAACGGTAGATGGGTGGGAATTTGCTAATATCTATGTTATTCTTTTCCTGGGGTCATTTGTACTAAATCTTATGGTTTCTCGTTTGGTCGCCATAATAACAATAGGTTTTACATAATTTTGTCTTCGGATTTCTTCCCAGAAGAATGATGTTATCCTTGATCACTGTTGATGTGTGAGTGTATGTGTGTGTGTTTGAACACCTGTCTGACTATTTGTGACCTGAAAAACAAACAGATGTGTTAAAGACATTGCCCATCTGCTCGATTTCCTCAGTGACTATAGATTTCTCTTGTGAACGCCATTATGGAGTTGAGATGGCAACGCTTGTAAGAATATTTTTTCTTACAATTTTTTCCCTGACATCGATACGACTTGCAATCGATAATATCTCACCGATAGACGTCTAGTTATCATGGTTTTCATTAGCTTTTTTAGAAATTTTGGTTTTGTTTGCTTATAAGAAGATGCAACCGATTCCTTTAGCTCCTCATGTCTTTGAGAAGCAACTACTGACGAAGATATTCTAATGACTACAGTAGGTAAGGCGCTAATGACCCTGTAAAATTTTGTTTCTTCCAAAATCACTCGACTGGCCTGCTGTAGTTGTTTCTATGAAGATTTTCGTAATAAAAGATTATTATTATTATTATTATTATTATTGGCCTAAGATCTTCTCTGTCTCTTGGATATTTCAGTTGGGTTATTTCAATGGTCATTTCATATGTCTGTTTGTACACGCTGCTTAAAGAAACAACACTTTCCGTAGCGCCTGGACTGTTCCAAATAGCGCTGTCGCCTGCACTAATGACACAGGCGTCTTACGAGGCAGAGAGATTTTGTTTGCATCACCCATAAAAGGGACAATTTGAGTTGCTTCTTGGTAAATTCCTTCGATTTCCCATAGCAGATCTTGGTACTTCTGTATTTTCGCTTACCCCGCCTTCACGATGTTCTTATCCCACGATACTGTAATGCCCATCTAGATCCATTCATGTCTGTTCTTGTGTTCAAGTGTGATGTCCAAATGCTGGTCAGTAAAAATGCTCGCATTCCACATGGGCTTCACTTACTTATTCTCGACTACTGACTGTGATGAATGCTCGTATTATTATTATTATTATTATTATTATTATTATTATTAACAGCAACGCAAAAGAGTAAAGAAATTAACAGACATCAAAAAATAAGTGTGGTGAAAAGGAGGGAAATATGTAAGAGAAATAATGAAATTTACTTATATTTTTTTCGTCCTACCGCTCTTGTTGTGGACGAAGTTGCTGTTATTCGAGACTGTATTTCTGTTTTCTTGTTAGACTGAATTGAAAATTTCTCTGTCAAGGGTGTTTATAATGGACGTGGTTATGATGTATAATGGATATGACGACTAACCAAACACTAATTTTTAAAGGATAAAACAATTCATAGAATATGACCACAGAAAATTGAAAATTTGATTATTTCTTCCTTTAATGAACAACAGCGGTGTATGAATCAGTTTTTATTCTTGAAGGTGACTTTCTTCTGTAGTTATATATGTTGGGTTTCTTTTCCTTCTAACTTGGTAAGTGTAAGATAGACCAGTATGTTTAGCTTATTTTGCACGTCCGGTGAACAAAATGGGAGAACTCTTGACGTTAACGCGCATCTAGAACTGTCGAAGAAGGGTAGAAATCGGTTTATATTAGCCAATCAACATCTTCGTTCCATGTATATCTTGGCTGACGGTAGAAGTGTTAAATATAATTCTTGCTTGCTGAAAATTTTTAATTATATTCCTTCCACTACAGTTTACTTTTTCATTGTTTTTTTTATCAATTACCTTTTCCTTTAGTTGTCAAGCCATACATTCAATAAATATTAATATTTTTATTTCCTATATTTTAGTGAACCAATATTTAAACCTTAGCAAGTAAACTTTCTCTCTCTTAATCTCAATATATACATTGCTTGTTTACGAATAATACATTCATGAAGTTTAATAAATGTTATTTTTTAAATTAAATTTTCTCATTGTTTTCTTTAAATATTTTATCTTTTTTTGTTGGATTCGTTGCAATCAGAACATAATTTTAATTCATGAAGTGTTATATCTGTCAGATAACGGTTACTTTAAAAGAACACCCTAATAATATTTTATATATTTTTCATATTTTATCTTTAAGCTAAATATTAATTTTTAGAGTCAAAATTGGCAATTTAGTATTAAAAAAATGCAAATAACAAATATTAAAACTGGCCAGATGTCAAAATGTCTGGAGCGAGATATAAATAAAATTATTTAATGCACTTGCCGCTGCTGCTGCTTTTTCTTAATTAACTTTGAAATGTGTGACCTTTTTGTGCTGAGAAGGAGATTCAAATGTTGAACATCCAGCCGATTTGTCAATTTTCGTAAATCCTAATTCTTTATATATATATATATATATATATATATATTAAAATATATATATATATATATATATTTAAAATAATATATATTAAAAATAATATATATTAAAAATAAACATAATACACTATGCTGATTGCACAACTCAAAGCTACACCCTTTGTTTAATACTTCCGGTTATTGTGAGATATTTTATTGTCAGGGTGGATTATTATTGTTGTTAAGCGTTTGAAAGAATTATAGTTTCTCTACCATATATGGATACAGATAAATAGAACAAAAATGTTACTTTTGTGTATTAAAAAAACTCTTTTAGAAGAATTTGAAATGGGGCACAGTTTTTTTTTGTGTGTTGTGTGTGTGTGTGTGTGTGTGTGTGTGTGTGTGTGTGTGTGTGTGTGTGTGTGTGTGTGTGTGTGTGCGCACGCACACACAAAACTCTCTGATGATTGGATGTAGTGATTCCTGGAGGTCCACCTACAAAACTCTAGAGTAAGGATGCTGATTGTAACATCAATCAGCTAAGTGACAAACCTTTTAAAAAATTATTTGCACAAAAGATAATTTACTTATTCTAACAGAATTGTGTGATGAAAATTTCTATCTAATTTTTTTTTTTTATAAAGTGCAACACATATTGCAAGAGAAATAGATTTGAAATCATGTTTACAAAGCATTACTAAAAATTTCATTGACATTCATTCATTCAATAATTTAAAATTATGAAAGATGAGTAGATTCTAGAGATTTTTCAGATAAACTTACTGAGCAGGAAAAAATAGAAATAGAACAAGCTTTTTTTTCTGTTGGAGAATAGCACACATTCAATAAATATAGGTGAATGTCTTGCACAAATGCGTTAAGACTTCATTTCTTGTTATTTCAGTAGAAATCTTATTTAGATGATGGAACCCTAACACAGGAAGAAGTACACTTTCAGTATATATATATATATATATATATATATATATATATATATATATATATATATAGACACACACACATTAAATTTAGTGGATGCACAAGTTTGAGTGGACATGCATGTTTTTTAAACAGTGAAAATCTGTCTATCAATCTATGCATTGAAGAGTTTTTATAAAGAAAATGTGCCTTCCAGTAGGGTTTGAACTTGAACTTATGTCTCCCCTTGTATGGAAAACCACTGCATTACCCAGCTTGCTTTTAGACTGCTCAGCCATGGGAGATTTTCCCATTGAAAAATTAACCTTTTTTAAGAAATGCACATCACTTGTTCAGATTTCTCAATGTCTATATATATATATATATATATATATATATATATATATATATATATATATATATATATATATATATAATGTTTGCTTGAATAATCTGGATTAAAATAAAATAAATAGACATAATATGTCCAGATTATTCAACCAAATATGCTTGAATGAAGATATGCTGCCTAAATATATATAGAGAGAAAGAGAGAGAATTAATAAAGGTAAAAGGTTTGTCACTTAGCTGATTGATGTTACCATCAGCATCCTTACTCTAGAGTTTTGTAGGTGGACCTCCAGGAATCACTACATCCAATCAACAAGGAGTTTTGTGTGTGTGTGTGTGTGTGTGTGTGTGTGTGTGTGTGTGTGTGTGTGTGTGTGTGTGTGTGTGTGTGTGTGTGTGTGTGTGTGCAAAACAAATTCTTCTAAAAGAGTTTTTTTTACTTGTATTAATTCTCTCTCTTTCTCTCTATACATATTTAGGCAGCATATCTTCATTCAAGCATGTTTGGTTGTTTAATTTTGGATTTGAATTTAGGCCTAGATTAATATTCAATACACACACACACGCACGCGTGGGCACACAAACACACACACACACACATATATATATATATATATATATATATATATATATATATATATATATATATAGTTGTAAATGGAAGAATTACTTCTTACAAGTACTTTTTTGCTAGATTTGGAAACATTTGTAGTTGTTTTACGCCAAAGTTTTCTCGTAATTTTACATCAAAATCCATTTTTGATTCCCGATTATTTATATCAATGATTT